TAAATGGATGCGACCAGGACACATCATAGTTATGTGCAAATAGAGGATGTGGTTTCAATTTGAATTCCAACCAACAACAGACTTTCATCAAAAGAAAACCCTCTGCTACCACCCTATCGTAACAATTCCTAAAATACGTCCGGTCCCCAGAGAGATGCCTGCACTGTCCCGCAGCACCTGAAGTAGTCTTTTCATCTCACAGCCATTCTGCTCCTTGGACCTGGAATCGTAGAGCTCACAGAATCTTCTGCCTGGAAAGGTCTTCACTGTAAACGATATCATCTTACATTTCTATAGATGCCCAGAGGGAGCGGGGCCAGACCAGACAGAGGCCAGGGTCCCCTTTCACAGCCCCTTAGACTTTCTTTATAGGACCTTCCGAACCTGCTGGATTCTTAAGAAGAGGGATCTTGCATTAAACAGGATTTCACAGGCTCGCTGAGAGCCTGTGGGGGAACGTGAGAGACCCCTGAGGACCAGCTTCCGAGCCCTGGAGAAGGAGGGGCTGCGCTACTCTCTCTGATCTAGTCAAGCCCAGGGAGCCGCTGGCTGAAGCTTGGCCCCCACACCCGCAGGGCCTGCAGGAGCAGCCCCTGAGGCCCAGCCACCCTGGGGTGAGCCATTCCAAGCTCTGGTCCTGCCCTGCCAAATGCTAAGTGAGACCAAGTCCCCAGGGAAAACCACTGGCCTGTCAGGCAAAGGGTGCTCTGTTGACGCAGTCAGTGCTGCTGATAACACGGTTTTTCTCGATTCCCACCTGCAGCTCAGCCTTGGGAAAGGGAAGTGTATCTGTTACCAGCTGTGAGTGGCCAGTTTCCTATGGCTCTGCACTTTGCCCTGCTGTCACCAAGCCAAGCAGAATAATACGCTTGTTTGGCATGACTCCCCCTCGCCGGCCCGCGGGGAGTGCGGGGCAGGGAGGCTGCAGAGATTCTCTCCCAGCTGCGCTCGGCCTCATCAGGAAACACAAGGCAGGCTAGTCTCTCATCATCGGGACACAAACACACGAGGTGCCAATACCCAGACAGAACCCCCATGCCTGCAGCCTCACACCCAGCCAGGAACCACACCCCCACCCACGCCCGTGAGGGCTTCAGCGCAGCCCAAGTACCTGTTCCTGCCTGACTCACCCTCCAGGGAAGCAGAAGGGCTCCCTCTGTTACGGAGGAGGGAACGCGGTCCACGGCTTTCCCAGAACCACACAGCCGGACAGGGACAGGCTCCAGACAAGAAGCTGCTCCTCCCCGCTTACCCACAGCCCCCCTCTCGCCAGGGCCCCTCTCGGGGTTCCTATGACAACAGCGACCACTTGTTGAACCATGCTGTGTGTCAGGTACGTATTCTGTGCAGCTCCCCTCTAGGGAGGTTTTTATACCAACGTTAGAAATGAAAAAAGTGAGGCTCAGAGAGGTTAAGTGACTTACTTAAGGCCACACAGCTACTAAGAGATGGAACGGATTCAAAGGCCCATCCATTGGCCCTAAGCTGTTTGGACTAAAGCACTGAGAAGATGGACAGTCCCTTCTCCCACCCCACCCTCCACGACAGGATGAAGAAATCTACCTCATTGCCACGTTGCTGCCGTCGATCACAATGGGTCGCAAGGAACTGGCCGGGTCTCCACATTCCTCCTCAGGGTCAGCCCCCCGTCCATGCTGGGCGGAGTCCAGGGTCCCACAGGAGCCCCTGGGAACCAGCTGGGGTGCAGCATTGCCCTGGTGGGCCCCAGGGCGGCTGCCAGTCTGGATCAGCTCCTGCAGCACGTCGTTGACTAGGGCGCCCTCGCCCAGCTTGCCCAGCACCCTGATCACATCCTCCCGGTCGTAGCCTAGCTTCTGGAAAAACTCCATCTTGCTTGAGTGCTCCATGCTGCACCAGCCAGGCCCCTGGCAAGGGTCTTGCCCCCGGCGTTCTGGCAGAGCCCGACCGGCATGAGCTAAAGAGAAAAAGCATCCATCAGGTGTTTTCTGGGCAGCCTGAGGGCAAGTGACCTGTGCTCCCTCCCCACCTTATCTGTCAGGAAATGATGTTGGGGACGCCTGGTCTGCTTGGGGATTTTCAGCTGCTCAGTGTGGTTGGGGAGCCTCAGATGCAATCACACTGCTTTACTGGTGCGCCCTGGAGGCCTTTGCCCCACGCAGTGCCCCGCAGGGGTCGCCAGCCAGAGGCACTGAGGGCAGCTGAGGCCACCGGGACTCGGGACATTTGTACACAGGCCCAAGGAATGTTTCTGAGGTCCTGTTATGGGGTGAATTGCGTCCACCCCAATTCATACTTTGAAGGCCTAACCCCGATACTTGAGAATGCGACTACATTTGGAAATGGGGTCTTTGAAGAGGTGATTAAGTTAAAATGAGGCCATTGGGGTGGGCCCTGAGCCAATATGACTGGTGTCCTTGTAAGAAGGGGAGACTTGAACACAGGTGGATACAGAGGGAAGACCACGTGAAGACACAGGAGAAGGCAGCTACCTAGAAGCCAAGGAGGGAGGTCTCAGAGAAACCATCGCTGCCCACACCTTGATCTCAGACTTCTAGCCTCCAGAGCTGTGCCACAATAATAATAATAAACCAAACATTATTACGTAATAGTATATACTGTATATTATATATACATATCCAAGGTAACAAAGTCGGTGATATTTCCCCTAGCAATTAATTCAGACCATACTGAACCTCTAAAACAAAAGGTCCTAACCCAAATGTGAGCCTTTCTACCCAGGCATCACTACCTCTGGGGGAGGGGGTGCAGGGGGGATCATCTTTACAAAAAGGTGATGAAACCAATNGCCAGAGGGAGGACCACGTGAAGACACAGGAGAAGGCAGCTACCTAGAAGCCAAGGAGGGAGGTCTCAGAGAAACCATCGCTGCCCACACCTTGATCTCAGACTTCTAGCCTCCAGAGCTGTGCCACAATAATAATAATAAACCAAACATTATTACGTAATAGTATATACTGTATATTATATATACATATCCAAGGTAACCAAGTCGGTGATATTTCCCCTAGCAATTAATTCAGACCATACTGAACCTCTAAAACAAAAGGTCCTAACCCAAATGTGAGCCTTTCTACCCAGGCATCACTACCTCTGGGGGAGGGGGTGCAGGGGGGATCATCTTTACAAAAAGGTGATGAAACCAATAGGAACACTCTGGACAGACTGGGTCCTTCTCTCATCTACTTACAAAGACCTACATCTTTCAAAAAACCATTTCAAATACAGAAGTCATCATGAAAATAAATTGACTGTGAAAACGTGAAATAATGCAGGAGTATAAGAATAAAAAGATGTACTGTCTCTTCATACACACCCCAACCCCACCAGCCTCTCCTGCTAAGTATTTGTTTGCACCCCCGCAGCATTTTTTCTATGCATTTACATGCATATCTAATGCACACACACATACATTGTGTTAGGGGATTGTTTTTACATAAATAGTGTTATACTGTATATAATGTTCAACAACTCACTTTTCTTATTAAAAATAAGTTTTGGAAATCTTCCCACACCTGTTCATTTGTTCTGCTTCCCACTATATCTCCAGCATTTAAAATGGGGGCCTGGCATAGCTGAACCTCAATGCTAATTTGTTGGATGGATGGATGGTATTTAACCATACACCAAACAATGAAAATTTAGATTGTCTTCCATTTTCCCTGTTATAAATCATGCTCAATTGAACATTCATGCCCATCGATCTCAGGCTTGCCCTTCGGTCCCTAGTCTCCCGCAGGCGTCCCCTGCAGTATTCACATCTCCCTTCCAGGTTCCCAGCTTGGCTTCTCATTCTCTTGCGGGCCACTCCCTGTAGTGCTGGAACCAGAACCGAACCAACAATGACAGGCTCTGGCAGGTGGAGGGCATTTCTCAGCCAACCTCCTGGTCAAAGAGGCCTCTGTGTCCCCCATTTGTCATCCTCCTGGGCCCACTGACTACTGAAACGCCAAAACTGCCCCCCAAAGTCACGTGTGGCCTCCTAACTGCCAACTCCAACAGCAACTTCACATTCCTCTCTGCTGCTTCTGACACTGTGGGCCATTCCCTCACTTGTTATTTTCAACCAAAAATTTTTGGACAGTCTGGCCAGTGTGGCTCAGCGGTTGAGCATCGACCTAGGATCCAGAAAATCGTGGTTTGATTCCCGGTCAGGGCACGTGCCGGGGTTGCCGGCTCAGTCCCCAGTCGGGGGCGTGCAGGAGGCAGCCGATCAATGATTCTCTCATCATTGATATTTCTATCTCTCTCTCTCTCTCCCTTCCTCTCTCTCTTATATCAATAAAAAAAAATTTTTTTTGGACAACCTCCTTCTCAAAACTCTCTTCTCCCTTCAGTTGTACAACTTGTCCTGAGTCTCTTCCTAAATCTTTCCAGCTCTTTGCTCAGCCTCTACTCACTTGTTCAGCGATGAAGGAGGTCCCACCAGGTCCTCTTCTCATGCCCCCCCCAGCCCCTGCCTGGATGAGCCCACGGCTGCTCTTCCAGCTCAGACCCTGGCCAAGCACCAGGCACACACAGTTATAAATCTGTGAAATAAGTGCCACGCATGCTATTTCAACAAAGTGCCCTGGGGACTCAGCATGACACTGTAATTCACCAGACATCTGCCAAGTCTACATAGTGGTTCTCAAAGAGTGGTCCAGGGAAACTTGGGGGGACCCAAGACCTTCTCAGGGAGTCTGCAAAGTAAACACTATTTTCATAATAATGTTAAGGCGTCATTTGCTTTTTCCCCACTCTCTTCCTGTCCTGGGTGTACCAGGGAGTACTGCAGAGATGACACATCATGTGATACTGCAACAGTTTGAAGGCAGAAGCAGATATGAGATTCCAGCTGCTTTCTATTGGGCCAGATATTAAAGAGATTTGCAAAAATGTAACTCGGTGCCAGTCTTCTTACACATTTTTTTTATTTTGGAAAATAGAGTTGTTTTCATAAGAATGTATCATTTATATTAATGTAATTGGTTTATTATTTTAAAATGAATGATTATTTTTTAATTTCTTAGTTTTAATTTCTAATAAGGTCTAGATAGATGATGATAAATGATTGCTAGATGGATGATAGGTAGGTGATAGATGATAGATAGATAGATGACAGATGATAGATAGATAGATAGATAGNATAGATGGATGATAGGTAGGTGATAGATGATAGATAGATAGATGATAGATGATAGATAGATAGATAGATAGATAGATAGATAGATATAGATAGATAGATAGATAGATAGATAGATAGATAGATAGATAGATAGATAGATAGATAGATAGATATAGAACCCACATAAACAAAAGCTCTTTGGGGTCCTTAATAGCTTTTAAGAGTGAAAGGGGGGTTGAAAACTAAAAAGATTTTTCTTATATCCGGAGTTTCCCAATAAGTATTTCCACAGATGGGCCTGTGTAGGTGGCCTATAGACATGTCACCCGGGACCCCAGCACAGGGGCCCAGCGTCTCTTAGTCCCCCAGTCTGGCCCCTCTGACCTCCATCTCCTGCTGCTCACCTGCCCACCCAGCCTCAGTCCACCTTCTTCATCCCATACCCAGCACACTGCAACCCCTCCAAAGGGGTCCCCTTCCTCAATCCCGCCTGGCCCGGCACCCACTTATAGCCAGTGTTGTATTTCTGGGACAAGTCCAACCATGTCTCCCCTGATTATAAATATCCTCTGACCCCGTGTTGACTACAAGACAGGCACCAGATTCCTGAGCAGGCTGCCGGGCTGTCACCACGAGGCACTGATCCCTGTCCACCTCACCACCTACCCCAGGCCCACCCGCTCTTTTTCTAGAGCCACACTGAATCCCTCCCTGCTCCCCACGTATTCCAGAACATTGGTATCACTGTGCTTCTGTATATGGTTTCCTCTCCACCTGGAATGCTCTTTGGTTTGGCAAACTTCAAGATTCAGCTCAATGCAACTCGAACTCCACAGACAGAATGAGAGGCTTGCTCATCTCATCTACCAGGCACTTTGCTCACACCAGTCATGACACACTGAATTGTCACATCTATTTCTCAAGAACATGTGAACTGCATTAGGACCTATTTGCCTCAGAATCACCAACACCTGACATAGTGCCCAGTCTATCCGAGTTTAATAGATTTCCCTTTAATAAATGTCAAAAGCTGAAATTATCTTCTCTCCTTGTATATTTTTTTCTTGGGTTCTGAATCTCATTAAATGGCATCTCCCAGAGGCCCAAAGAAGATATCTCAGTCACCTGTGACTCTTCTCTTTCTCTCACATCTACATGCAACTGGCCATTAATTCTACTTCCTGGACATTTTCCATAACCATCCTCTCCTTTACACTCACAGCACCACCACCCTAGTTAGTTTGTTCACTCACTCATTCATTCACTCATCCATGTAACAAACGCTGATCACCTACTGTGCTGAAACCCAAAGTAAAACACGGTCTCATTTCAATTCACTCACAACCTATTCAGGAAAATAGACAACAAATGTAAACAATAAGCCATAAATCATGATAATAAGCACAATAGTTTTGATCAGAAAAAATGCGCTTTCAAAACACAGGTGAGGAATGACTTACCTTCCTTCAAGGGGAAAGGAGAGACCAGAAGGGCCCTCCCAGACCTGGACAACAGAGTAGCTGGCCTTGCCCAGTCAGAGCAGGGCCATGTCATCTCTCCTAGGGGCCCCCAGAGGGCCTCCTCACCAACCCGTCACCCACAACTCCAATCAAGTTGGTCCACTGATCAAAGACTTCTATATCTTCTCCAAGTGCCTCGGTCCCGTACATAGGAAGTGTCAAAAGTCCAGCGTGAGCATAAAGGCCCTCCCCCGCTGGGCCAGGCTCACTTTCCAATCTCACTGGTCCCGTACCTCCAGTCCAGCCTCTCCTTCTACCCTTGACCAGTGACCAGTCCCCTCTCAGGATGGCTGTTCCCTTGGG